CAGAGATCCTGAGTGCATGTGGATTTACTATAAGCCTGAACAGAGGACTTGCCTTTTATCCAAATATCCCAGTTTACTCTTTCTTACATAGGTGTAAAATGGACAAACAGGCAGCGGTGAACATGCTCTGATAGGAGACTGTTGTGAACAGGCGACGTCAGACTACAAAATATGATGTTTATCCACATGAACCCCCTCTGCTAAGATTTTTCCTACTATCTTGTGTTCTTTGGATAAATTGAGACACTGACTCGCTGCCACCCATGGAAAAACCATCATTAAAGAATCAAACCGTTACTGCTGGGTTATAGATGATTAATTATAAATCCCAGCTGAGCCGTAACATCTCAGTTCTTGGTTTCTCTCTATTTATTGTTGACACCTGATTAGTCCACCTGTGCTGTGTAAACAGGCGAGTATCTCTCTACATATTCGGTTTACGATGAATTAATGAATGAGCAGCATCGATACCATACCTGCATTATAAACTAGAATACCGCTTTGTGATTCTGTGCCTCGCCAACCAGTCAAATTCATGGAAGCGGGACAAACCTGAGGTCACTGACCTTGACCTTTGACTACCAAAATCTAATTAGTTCATCTTTGAGTCGAACTGGACCCTTATTTCCTCCTGCTCTTCAGTAATTACTGCAGAACGAATCGATATGTTTTTGAGTAATGAATGCAATAACCTCTGCGGCATAATTGCTTTTGCTCAGCAAAAAGCTTTTGTGTGAAAATGATCCTTTCATTTTAAATGCCAGGTCCAATACAGGGAGGCATAATTCTGCAAAAGAACAATCGTGCTGAGTGATTGCGCTACATCATGGATACCGAATTGGAATGGCTGAGCTGTCAACTCATGAGTCTACGAGTTTATTACTTCTGGTTTATTGGTTTATTGGATACCCCATTAGCTTCCAACCAAGAAAGCTAGTCTTTCTGGGGTCCAGTTAAAACAAATTACAAAAATAAATTAAAAACATCAGCATCACAATTAAAACATTCTTTCAGTACAATCAAAATGGCAATTTAAATCACTAATATCTTTTACGTTCATACCAATAATTACACCAATACAAATAAACAGCTGGTGCTGTTATTGAATTGACGTGTCCTATTTCTGTCACCGTTGATGTACAGTTGCTCTGTGTTATTATTTCTGAGCTGCATGTCAGACACTGACACTTGGATTTTTGTGTATAAAAGTGATGAAGGTGGTGTAGGAATGGCCTGTTTTCATGTAGACTGGCTCCACTTATCAAAACGAACACACACATCTGCACAATAACCCTACCTGGAAACTGCAGCAGGGAAAGATAATTGTTTGCTGTGGTCTGTGTTCCTGTCATTCTAAGAGAAAGAATGACTCCAATTAAGTATTCCCTGAGTGAGTTCAGCTCCAGCTTCCTTCTCACATGCTGATTGATGCCACACAGATATAAACAAACAAGAGAGACCTCGTGTTCTGTCTCTCTGGGGACGGTTAGACGGTATTTGTTCATTCTTCCTGAATTGTAAATGAGATACAGGCATTGTAACTAATCAGTAAAGGTAGGAACTACAGTCTTCAGGCCCTGTTTTGATATACTGCATCTGATCAAGATGTACTGGCATAAGTGGTGTTTGAGAGTGTCTATGTTCATTTTGGTAATTTGATGAGGAAAAATGAAGTGAAGAGTGAAATTAGTACTGAGTCTTTAGAACAATTCAGGTGCATATATTTTTACATCTATTACATTTATAGCTCTTCTGTTTCCTCCTCATCTTATTCACAAGTGTGACAACTCTGAGCTCGACATAACTGACATAACTAGATTAAACTTTCCAAGTTCCGTTCAGCTCAAACACTTGAATATCTTCAGAAGAATTTGTTCAGATGATGAAACAGATTTCTCTGGAGGCACAAAACATCCCCCTGAGAAGAGCTGCAGAGTCCAAAAGAAGCTTCTGCTTTAAGCGCATTCAAAGCTTTGAGGCTCCTTCTTGGGTTCATCTGTTCCCTTTAATCTACTTTGAGAGATGACAGGTGATGGCTTTTACCTCACTTCACCACATCTTCATAAAAAGATGCATCTTTTTATACCTTTAATATATTCAGTGCATGAAGGGAAAACAGTTCTTTGGATGAGATGATAACCAGGCTGATTTATACTTGAGTTAACAGCAGTCCTGCCACAGATACCTACAGCATAGCTCAGAGTTGAGTCCCACTCACAGACAGCACAACCACAACACCAAATGGATGTACTGAGATCGGGATGACTCATGCGTTAATTAAATTTACTGTGGGCTGTGCACATACAGAACTGGAGTTATATCCAGGTGACTTATTCTGCCTGGTCTCATTACTGAGTATGAGACTATGCAATCCAGCTGATCCCAGCTGACACTGAGTGAGAGACGGGGTGCACCCTGAAAAGGTCGGAGTCTATCACTCGGTGCAGGACGGTGTTTATGTCTGTCCGTGTACTGTGACAGAGAGTGGTGACTGTGGTAGCAGAAAGTTGTCAGTGTTAATGCAAAAGAGAAGACTACAAAGAATTTCCTCAACATCCCTAATGCTGTCTTCATTATCAGCAGTCACTGGGATATGATACGCAAACACGAGGGGTCCATGTTGACCAATCACAGTTCTTTAAGTCTTTGTGTGGGATCTCCATACTGTAGCTGCTGAAGCTCCACATTCTCATCCCAGGACACCAAGTAGTGGTGCTTTTGTGTCTCATACTGACGCTAATCGCCGCCTCTGCCATCTATGTAGGATGCATAGTGTTTTCTGTACAGAACAGTGTGAACCCACTCGGATCAAAGGTACTTCACAAAGCCTAAAGAAACACCTTGGCTTTACACACAAAAGCTGCTTTGCCACCAAGACTGTGTGGTTAGGTGGACTCAAACACCACTCTCTTGTTTGTCTGAAGGTAGCAGTTGGTATCTGTATGTGACACAAAAGGTACTTGACAAAACGCTGGTATTTGATGCCCTGAGAATGAGGACAGGCTGGTTGTTAATGTTTTTATCAGGAGACAGAGGCTAGAGCAATGCTTTTGAAGCTATGCCATGACCTAGTTTTATGAGTCCTAATCGAGGTAGACACGCGTGCTGAGCAACACACACTGCTCTTCCTACTGACTGAAATATCACATAGTATAATGAGTTAAGAATATGTTCAAATTATGCACATATATATGGTTTGTTTATCGCCCAGCACAGCTCCATGCCCATAAGGAAAGGGGGGAAATCTGAGGCAGACAAGTTCCTGGACTGACAAGAAGCTAAAGCTTCTAAATAGGAAAGTCGTGCAGCTTCTCATGTAAATGGATAATACGGAGCCTCTCTGCATTTTGTTTAAAAAGACAATGCAGTCACTTTACTTGCACTTGAAGGCAGATATAGAGGTCTGAGTACCCTGATGGGTTTACTGAATACAACACTCTGTGGGGAATCCTCAGTTTGGTCACCTCTGCTCCTCTTCTGCAGGTGAACTTTCAGGGACCTCGGGTGCTCAGGGGCCTCTCTCACACAGTAAACATCAGACACAAGCCCTTTTTGGGTTGTTTCCATGGAAACTTTAGGAGGAGGTGCTGGTTGTGGAGCTATCCTTATCTTACATTGGCCTGACCTCCATTCCCACTGCTGACACAAAATAATCCTAGAAAATAATCCTAATGAGAATCCCACGCCTGAAACTGAGAGCAGTTTTATCCAGTCTGTTTTTTTGTATTCACTTTTTTATGCACAAGGTCGCCTTCTGCATTCCACTTGCTTTTCATCAGCCCTGATGAGAGCAGAGGGGCAGCCAAGGAGCAGATAAGGGAGAAGGAGAGGTCTGCTTCAATCAGCTTCTAATTTACTCACAACTGTCAGGAACCAACTGACAGGCAGGAGGCTAATTCATCTATTGTTATTAAAACTACCGATGTGTGTTGACTACAAAATAATCTGAGTGTGTTGCTCCCAGGACGAGAGCTCATTTCTTAAGTCTGATCTCATAATGAGGCTCATTCTTGATGTCACAGCAGCTTAACTGGCTAAGCGTGTCCACTTTGCTCAGGTCATGATGTTTGTGTATTGGTTATTTCTGTCAAACTAGGTGCTAACTAGGCTTTAATTCAGGTTTCCCATTTTATATACTCTACGTTACACACACTTCCTGCATCAGCAAAGCAAAAACCCACAGTCCTGATGACAAAACATACAACAAAATGCACATTTACTCCATATATACAACAAGCAAGCTCAACATTGTGAGCCTCATGATCAGTGCTCACATGAAGTACGTGATATGCTGTATGTATGGCATATATTATTGTCCACAAACCAAAAGCCTCAAACTAGGTTTCCACATTTTTATGTTCCCATTGCTTACAATACCTCTGCCCATAGGATTTCAAATTGCGTTAATTTGTTCTTTTCAGTTGTTGTTGCCTTTTGCTAATTATAATGCATTTGTTTTTGCAGTGTAATAGTTTGAGGGTATGTGGATTTCAAGGATTTGAGAACAGCTTTCTTACATAGCAATGATGGAAGAATGACACCCCCTTGGTTCCCATAATATATCTTGAAATATACAAATTGATGGATTATTCCCAGTATCTCTCTGATTATTACTAATCTAATAGAGTCGTTCCAAGAAGCAGCCATAAATTAGGATTTAAAACAGTTCCCTGATATTTCTATCATGTTTGTTAACTTTATCTCTGGTGCAGTAAGTACTGTGCATTTTTATTGTATTTATAGTAATGTTTCATTGACTGTAATATCGCTCATTAAATCACAACATTCCCTCCATATTAGATCTACATATGTCAGTCCAAAAGTTTGATCTCTGTGGTAACAGATTGTCTACAGAAAATCTGCTGTGTAAATTCAGTTTATATACATATCATTTATTTTATTTTTTACTGTATAAAGCTACAAAATTTATATTCCACAAATAATTAATCTGGAAAAAAGCTAATTCTGAATCACTGGAGTATCAAAGTAAATATTTTTTTCTGCTTTCAGCTGGATGCAGACCGAGATGAAGAGGAGGTCTTCTGTGACATCAGCATGACTCTGGACAACAAGCTGTTCCCCTCCAAAGAGCCTGCAGCCGGTGAGATGGCCTCTGATTTTATAAGAGACTGAGACACCTCAAGAGATGTTTTATGACCACACATGTAAAAACTCGATTGCATCTGGTATAATTAGCTTGGGCAGTATTTCAACCTGATATGTAAATTACATTTCTCTCAAGGCTCATTCTATTATGGTTTTTGGGAACAAAGTGGAGGTGACATTTTGTGTGCATTCATTTGTCTTTGCATTGCACTTTGCTAAAATTACTGAAGTCTAAGGTTTGTTTGTGTTTTTCAGATGCAGAGGAAGGGGGTAGCCCAGTAAAACATAGAGGTTTTGCATAAAAAACTACTTGTAAAACTTTATAATACAGTGTAATTTTGTTGTATAAACTAGGTACTAATAAAATATTCACTGGTTCCTTCTGGCACTTAAACGTAGGTTCAGAAAACAAGACTGTGACAGATGAACACTTTAGCAGAAAGAGACATAAATTAAACTCCAGGCGTTTTGTTAACACTGTACTTACAGGCTACAGTACTGGGACACAAAACCAAGGAAGTGAAGTTGATTAAATGTTTAAAACAAGAATGACTGGGTTCCTCGTTACAAAGTCAAGATTAGCTTGACCTTGCAAAATAATAGCAATCTTCCAAGCATATGAGAAAGGTACTGTAGCACTGAGGTGTGGTAGCGCCTGGCGGGACTTCCCATCATGCCAGAGGAGAGAGACTGTTGGCGTGGTCCTCCAGAATGCCCCTCTGGGCAGGAGGTATATAGGTCGGGGTTTGCGAGACTGTTCAGTGTCTGCTCTGGTCTCTCAACCCTTCTTAACCCAGCCACTGTTACAGTATGTTTGCTTTCTACTCCAGCATATCCACTATTACAAACGTGCCTGTTGGGAGCTATTTTTCAAAAGTGTAGACCAAATACAAATAATACAATGACAGTGAAGACATAAGCAAATTCCCGTGGGTGTAGCATTTTCTCCATATATTGTAAAAATGTTGGGTCATTTGCATTTTACATTGCACAGCAAGAAAAAGGTATGTGAGCTGCATAGTAAATGTGTGCCGTCCACCCCATTATCATCATGACTCAATAGCAGAATACGCCTCTCTGTAAAACACAGGACAATTCAACAGCAGCACAAATTACATCCTCCAAAATGATCATACAGTTGAATCAACACTTCTACATCAATGTTAACACCTTCATGAAGGAGGTTTTGTTACAGGACAGCAGGATTTGACCGCATTAGTGTTAGCCCGGTGTACTTAATAAACGCCAACTGCGTGTGTATAATGTACAGCAGCTATGGGCCACATAATGATGGGATGTCTTGCAATAGATGTATCAGACCCTAACATACCTCCAGATAAAGTAAAGAACATCCTCAGGGACTGTATTACTTCTAAACAGCTATGAGTGCATGTGTACACTGTAGAAAGCCTTCTCCACTTACCCAAGAAGAAAAAAAAACAACAAGTGAAACCAAACACATCACCCACCAGCTCCCTGGTTACCACGGGAGTTGGCATAGCAACCAGTGAGGCAGGGTTAGCCAGGCTTTGTGAGAAAATACTGAATCAACAAGGTTAGAATCAGTGTTTGATCACTCAGACGGAGTGTTGGAGACTGATGCTCACATATTATGTAAAAACCTGGTAATTTTTTTTTTTAATGTGCCAGACAGAGCTTTGGTGACAGAAATGGTGTCATGTCTGTTTAAAAAATACAAACAGTCAGCGCTCTGCAGGTGTTGCTGCAGTGATTTCACAAGAGGTAGCGATCATAAAGGGTTTTTTGTTAACAGAAAAATATATTACTGTTGGCACACAATGACACCAGCTGGCAAAATATGTCTGGTTTTGGTTGAAAGCAGCCTTTGATTTTGGTCATAATGTAACTTGTAAATGTCCCGCAGCACAGAAATCCCACATCTTTTGTAGTGTAGATGCCGCCGCTTTAAATTTAGGACATTTTCAGCAATCAATCTTTGTCTTTCTTTGAAGGAGGTCAAGGAGAAAAGGGATGGATGCTGTCTTTCCGTTGTAGTTCTTGGTTATAACTGTTTGATACTGGATTTTTAGGCCAAATCTGATCATGTTATACCATCTCATATTCCTTTTAATCATTTCAACAAACACTGTTGCTAAAAAGTTCCCCTAAATTTGGTTATTAAAGGAACAGCAACAAATTCTTGGAAATCCAAGCACTTGCTCCACCCTCATTATTCATTTGTTTAGCTGCAGCTCTGAACGTGATCCATCTTGCAAGTATATGTGTCCCCATAACATAACTGGGGAAATGAGCTGTTGATATATAAACATAATTTGAACTAGGCGAGACTCTAAGAAGCCAAAATACCTCCTAGCTCCACATTAATGCAGAACATGAATCATGTGGAGCTTCTCATCTAACTCTCAACAGGAAACAAAATAAGCATCACCCAGAATGTCTGCATTAAGTTTCACGAATCCTGTGGACGTTTCTGTTTCTGCAGGCCTCAGTGAGCTGGACCTCAGCCTGCTGGGTGAAACCAGCAATCTGGCAGATGTCGCTTGCAAGTATGATGAGGTAAGACTGCAGTTGATTTTTACATGTTGACTGTGGAGACCCATTCTTGACAGAAACTAGAAATTCAGCATTCACTTACTCAGCTAAGTGACGGCTGCTGGATACAGCCGGAAGCTTCGGGAAGTGCTAACTCAAAGTGGAAAGTGCTCTGGTCTGATGGACTGTGCTGACGCTGTACTTAAATGAAAGGCTTTCATTTGCCCCTGGAGCAAAAAAAAGTCCTGTTCAACCAGTGGAAGTAACATGGTGTACTAACTGTAATGTAAAAAGACAAGACAAGACTGTTAACAAATATCTCCTGCTTAGAGACACATGATGACAGACTCTCATTATCAGTAACCTAATAACAATCTTACTTTCCTTTCACAGTGGCATTTTTGTCTCATTATAGAAATCCAATTTTGAATCCTCATTTCTAATGACAAAACTCTCTTCTCTAAGATCTTCTCTGCCTACTTTTTTTTTCTTGCAGAAGAGAACTGACAAGCTGTAAATTACCTTTTCAGAAATGGCAAACAGTGAACTCATTTCAGAGGCTGGATGATTCAGTGAGGCACATGTCCAGAGATGTTGTTATGTAATACTTCCGACCTCAAGTGTCTAGAAACAAATCGCACGGCTCTCTCTGCATCTTTCAGTTTTTTATTTCTTGGTATTTGCTGTTTGAGGGTTATTTAATAGTTTTCCAGACAGGCATGGTTTTGATGGTAGGTACACTCTCTCAGCTGCACACCTCCCCACATTTATTCACTGGCTTTAATTCACAGTTGGGAGCTGTTTGTCATAACTGTGTTTGTTTACTATTGGCTGCTCAGTGGTGGAGAAGTCTGAGTATTTTGCTCAGCAGTAATTCAGTATCAACTGAGAAAACATTTTCCCCCACTCCTATTTAAAAATCTTTTAATAATATAATTTTTTTCTTATTTTATTATTTTTTATTACCGTTTTGCACATTTTCCTCACGAGCGTCTGTGGCGTTTATCTAAAATGTGAGTCAGAGCTAGAGCTTCGAATCCTGGGGTCACTCCAACTAAAATATATGATAAAAGGAACACACCGACTACAACATGCCCCCTAAGTTTCCTGTCAAACACTGATTCCAGCCCAGTACACTGGACTGATGTGTCATAAATGTGGGAAGGGAAATGGATTATTGGCACAAAACAACACAACCTGGTCGAAATCTAGTAGCACAATATGAAACTGAACTGCTGCAGAGTACTTCTATTTACTCCACTCCTCTCTTACCTTGATATTCAGCCATTACTAACCTGTTTTGTCCATGTGTGATGTTCATATAACTGACACTGTTTAATCTTCACCAGCTCTGTTCCCAAACAGAATTACTTTCACAGCCGGGTGCTTGTTACTTGCCAGTCGACATCCTGCTAAGTGTCTCCTGGGCTTCCTGGCCCACTGTGATTTTATAACACAAGACTCTTAGTCATGTTAAGTAAACTTTCACTGAGGCTGAGCAATCTTTATCGACTGATGTCACCTATTCATCATAACCCAGAGACATCAAGAGCCAGGAAAACGTCTGTCAATACAATATGGAGATAATCCTTGTAGAGGAAACCACAGAGCAGCTTGAGGACAAGGATATTGCAAATAAAAGGTGGCAACTGGCTCACTAAAGACGGTGACGTCCCTGTGCAGCCCTCCCTGTGAAGTAAAGCAAAGACAGTGCAGTCATCCCATATTTGTGGTGTCAGATATGAGACGGAGATGGATTTTGCTAGCCTACTGATCCATAGAAGGTGGCAGAGGAGACTGACAGAGGGGCAGAGCAGCTATTTTGGGTCTCTGGTGACAAATCTCGGACATTTTCCTCCAGTTTTCAAAGTCCATTTTTTATTTGATGCTATATTTTTTTATTCCCATTCATAACTGGCTAAATATAACTAATGTAAATATATTTTTAGTGTTTCTACAGTTATGTTTATAGCAGAAATCTTTGAAGCAGGTAAAGATGAGACAAAAGCTTTAGCTTTGGTGTCAACCTCTCACAATCAAAAAGCAAACATTTACTAAGCAGAGGTTTTCAGATTAATACCTGTGCAGCTGTGCTCATTCATGTCAGCAGTGTAAGTAAATATGCCGCTAAATAAAAAAAAACTTGCAATGTTGCAATATTTTGTACCAGGTTTAGTAAATATCGCCCATAGTGGTTATAATTAATTTCATTTCAACAGCCGTGACAAAAGTGTCAAAATATGCATAGAAACTAACACTTTGGCTCAGTCCACCTCTCCACTATTTATATGTATGTTCAGTATGTTCCAAACACTCGTCTCTTCACAACTTCATTCTCACGTCTTTGTCAAGCTGTCGCCTACCAACAATAGCTTGACATAATCTCTATTGCCTGAAGTTCTGCAGTTTTCCCAGTAGGATCCTATTCAGTGACTCACTGATGAAGCAATTATGTTTTTCCTAATCCTCTTTTTCTTACTGTCAACTGTTTATAAGGTGGTTTGACTCATGTAAAGTATGGTCCAAATGAATGTGGACTATAGTCCCACTCGTGGACATACTGTACAAGGACACAAAGTAAAACCAGACACTCCTTTGATATAACAAACAAGTAAAGCCACATTGACATTCTCCTGAGAGGAAAACCTGCTCACGTCAGCCACAAGTTGAAATGTCAGGTCAGAAATATCACGGATATCATCGAGTTCTCACACTTGATGAAAAGAGCTACTGAAGTGTTAATTTAAAAGGAGCCACACACAGTTTGTGTCTGATTTCACTTGGAAAGGAACCACAACAAATATTGTATGCAACACAACAAAAATAGCTAATTTAGGATATCTAAATGATGTGACTACAATGCTAGCAGTGGAATAATAAGTGGACACTTATTCCACATTTGGAGTAATGAGAGGTTTTTCTGTTCTTTTTGCTGACAATCCTCCTAGATGTGCTCAAAGGGCATTGTGGGAAATGTAGGGTTCCTCTGCAGTTCAAAGACTGCAGATTTGTTAAAGTCCAGTATGAGTGAAACAAGAAATCCTCCAACCTATATGACCAATATGTGGTTGTTTGTCCCTTCCTTCTCATATGACCCTCTGGGCCAGCTCATTAAATAGAGCTCCTAGCAAGAGCTACTGCAACAGCTCCACCAACATTAACAACAACATATGTCACACTGCCAAGCTTTACAAACTTTTGTCCTCATGGAAACAGCCATAAACAGCCAGCTAGCTAGCAGCAAGCTACTGGAAGTCCATCGTCTTGGAAACTGTCATAAATATACATTACGATAATGAAACCATCACGGTTTCATTACGTTTTGCCAGATAAACCACTTAATTAGGTTTATGAACAAAACAATGGCCAGTGGTGGAAGAAGTACGTACTCAGATCCTTTACTTATGTAAAAGTAGCAATACCACAGTGTAAAAATACTATAAGTAAAATCTTGCATTCAGAGTAAAAGCATAAAAGTAGTAGCATCAAAACATACTTAAAGTACCAAAAGTAAAAGTACTTATTATGCAAAATGGTACATTTCACAGTATAATGTATTATATTACTGAATTCTAATTATTATGTACATCACATTTAATGTTGCAGCTGGTAAAGGTGGAAATAATGTTAACTACTCGTAACCCGTAAGGAACATTAGCGTAAACATGACCTACTGCACATTTAAATGACACAAAGCTGTCTCTTCAACAGACTGATGACGCCAGCAACGCTACATATCCCATGGCTGAAAAGGGTTTATGTTGTGTAGGAGTGTGTGTTTATGGCCGCACATATGTTGCTGTGTGTATCGCATACCTGTTATCCATCATGAACATACAGTATCAACTTTCCAGGAATTAAGCAGAATCTGTCATACTTTACAGTGTTTGTGTGTGTGTATATATGTGTATATGTCTGGTCTTCATTGTGTTAAGCAGTGCATGCTGCGAATGTGTGTTTCTCTCTCTCTCTGTGAGTCATCGGGCCAGTTGGTGTACCCACATGCCAACATGGCTTGTTGTTGGCACCCAGCACTCCCCCACACTGACGGTATTTATTTAACACTGACAGAGCTCTGATTCGCTACTGTATATAACTGGAGCTTCACGCTGACCCATCTGCAAACAGCCACGTGTCTGAATCATTGGAAGTCAGAATCAGAGCAATATGAAGTCAAGAGCTGGCAACAGATGGAAAAGTCGAGGGGGGCGGGGTCATTTTTCTTCAGTCATCTACCTGCAGATGAGATGGAGCTCTTTTCTGATGTTTTCTGGCTGTTCAGCTGGATCACTGTACATCTTTCCATACAGCTACTGGTACAAAATATTTAAATTAATTTACTGTGCAAAGTATAAGAAGGAGAGACAGAAGTATTTCATAATATCAATGAGACAGATCAATGACCCTCCACCTGGAGTTTGCATAAGAAAACCTCTCCAAAGGGAGTAATCTCTGGACACACATACTCAACTAGCACCTTATCAGTTACACTCATTGACATCACATCACCACTTCCCTCCACTATACAAACGTGAAGCCAACATATCGTGAATACGGCGGCGGCCATCTTGCTTTTTTGCAACCAAATTCTGTGCAGTAGTGGCAGTAGTGACCAGAAGTGGAGTGACAGCATCAGACGGCCAATCAAAGCTGTCATATAATCCAAAATACACCCCTTTTATGTCAAGTAACTTTTTAAAATTAACCTCACTAGAAAAATGGCCAGTTATACACACATCATCATGATAAGATCTACCACAATTCTGTTGTTGATACTGTGTTAAACAGAAAGGTGTTTCTGTTATTCAGCCTGGGCTGGAGCATCTAATCCCTCTCAGTGTCCAGACGTCTATTTTCTTGATTGCTTTTGTCTTTTTGCACATCGAGGTGTGTATTCATTGCGGCTCAGTGAAATACGAAAACAATTCAGTTAAAGTCCTTGGGCTCAGTATGAGAACGAGAAGACCAAAGCTAACCGACAGTTGTCTCACACTGCATTTATGCACACACTGATGTTTTTCTCTAAAATGTCACGTTGGATATTTGGTTTTCACAAAGTTGCTTTTTGTTGGGAACTGAAAAGAAACACAGGAGGCACGTAATGTATTGTTTGGGGTCTTCTGTAATAGCTGCCTGCTCATGACTTACCAGATGCCTGTTTCATGCCTCTAGTCAGTTTTGTAAATGTACTGACAATCTGAATGGATTCTACTGCCAACAAACAACATCGTGTTGTAAGTTGTGTTGGGTAACACAGCTTTGTCACAGTTTGTACTAGAGAAAAACAATAGTGACATCAGTGTCTGAGATTTAAAGGAACACTGAACTTGCACATCCTGGTGAAAAACTCAGTTAACGTAAAAGTGGATCTGCACTCTTGGCATTTTCTCCCACAGCTTTGTGTTTGCATGACTGATCGGTTTCTATGTATCGTTTAAAAGATCCATTAACATTTTAATTTTGAACCCTCTCTGCCTCATCTTTATTTGCATAAAAAATTATGCAGAGAAATTATTCCTTGAGATTATCCCAAATCAAATTACTAATCATTCATTTAAATTATTAAACATGAATGTGTGAAAACTCAATATAATTACTTCTGTTCCCTCTAGTTATTTGTATTCTCACTTTACTTAATGTTGGATTCACAGTAATACAGTCTTATTTTGATATTGGACTTAAATACATGTATTATACTTTCTAGGGAACAATTTGTCTCCCTTTAATAAAAAAAAAATAATGCTTGTGCTAAATGAGGGGTTCTTTATCAAGCCTAAAAGCCTCTCATCCGGGTCATGGCTCCGACTGTTGTCCTCCTCTGTACACAGACACACACATACGTCAAAGACAAGCAGTGATCCTACAGTAATTGTTCATTCTGTAAGCTTTCTTTGGCTTTCGGTTACATCAGCCAGGCTTTTACATGTTTGACTGTTCCCGCTGTGACCAGACTGTTAATTCATACAAATTACAGATTTTTTTTTTTTTTTATTGCCACCACTGGAGTTGTTAGCAGGTCATTTGCACCAGAAAGATGCAGATGGCAAGAGCAGCAATGAGATTTGGGAGGAATTATTTTTAAGAGTGGTCTCAAATATGTGCAACAGTTGATGTGCACTTGAATCAAATGAATCATATTTCATCTCGAGAGAGATTTAAGTGTCTCTCAGCCAATTTTTCTGCCCGAGTTTGACTCTGACGCATTTGTAACTCTGTAATCATGATTCAGTGAATGAGGCTGCTGAGAGTTGAAGTCATCCCCCTGACTCAGGTCATGTGTTTGCTCCAGGGAGACTGGAGGTTTACTCAGCACTCAGTCTTACTCTCTCTTTCTCAAACATCCTCTTTTCTTTCTTCCTCCCATCTTGGTTCTTGTGCCTTCCCAAATACTGTAGGCTCTTTTTTTTTTGTTTCTCTTGTTCAATTTCCTGTATCTTGTTTTCACAATGTTATATGCGAACACCCCATTCTTCTGGTCGTAATGCAACAGGATGCAGTTGTTTTTAAAGACAGTTTGCTTCATGTCAATGATTTCAGAAAAGTCCTTTGTGGTTTCAACATGACAATGCTCAAAGCCAGGGTCTGGTTTCACAAAGCTATTTTAGACTGGAGGCTGCAGTGTCAGTCCAGTCTTAATGTTGCTAAATTAGACAGTTTCATAAACCTAAAAGTAGACCACTTTTAAGCCTAAAAGGTTAGCCCCCTTACTACTAAAGCTGGATTTATGCTTATGCACTGATTCTACGCAGAGCCCAGGCCGTAGGCTATGCAAGTGGCATGTATGTGTCACTCTGCAATTACACCACCGAGACACTAGATGGCAGTGGGGTTTCTGTGACAGTGTTGCATTTCTTTACCACTTACTAACAAAGGTGACTGAAACTTAACCGACTGAGGCCAAAAGAGGGAGGACTTTCTGTGCTTGTCAGGCCACTGAGAGACATAAAAGAGGAAACATGATACAGCCAATCACAGTTGTTGCGTTCCGCATCCCCATTACATGTACAGTAGTTGCATTTCTGGAGAGGTGCACAACAGGCTAGGTGTAGGGTACAAGGGTATGCATTACATATGTTGTGCCCATCTTATAGAATCAACACAGACCCATAAATCAAGCTTCACTGTCCTGAGCCTGACTGACATGTTAGCATAAGTACCAAGCTCTGCCGCATTAAGAAGCCTCATGTCTGACACCGATCTGCAATGCCCTGAAATTTTATGATACGGGGAGTTTCTTATACTGTTTTCAAAGACTAATGATCTTGTAACTGTGGTGAATTCTTTGAGAGAGAGAAGTATTTCCTGAAACTTGAGCTGTTTTACGCAAAGCCATGTTCTTTAGGTTGGCCAAAGTTTAATGTAACCAAAACTTGTGCTAGTCTGTAACTGGATAATTTCACTCCCAGATCTTGTGGTGTGCCTGCAACCAAAAGCCTGGAGGCTGCTACAACAAATGAATGCCCATAGCGTCTAAGTAATCAACAACCACACATGGGTGACCACATAGTTTTGCCCAAGTCATATGTGTCTCTTGTAAGCTTAAATGTGCTTTGAGTGACAGCCATGGGTAAAATCACATAGATGAGAAGCATACTGAAAAAAAGAAAAATGCTAATAAAAATGAGACCATACATAAAACTAATTCTTCTCTGGTTCTCCAGGTTGAAGAGGAGGAAGAAGCTGCGTATAATGAAGGAGCCACAGAAGGTGAGTGGACGAAATGATTGTCTGCATAAAGGCAGGCAAACAAATGCTGTCCCCACCTTTCTTCTACATCACATCTTATCACCAGAGCTTTTATTAGCCTATACATATTTATGCCCTTCTGCCTTCTTTCACAAAGTAGCAGCATTTCATTACACACACATTGCTCCATCTCGATAACTGCTGCAAGTGTCATCTAACTGTTATTCACCAGATGCCTGAATGAACCTCTGGCTGCAGCCCCACGTATGTTTTCAGCAGCATTGCTGTTCGTCAGCAGTATTGATTGTGTAATAGAGGGGGAGGAGGGCTTTTTGATTCATTGTCACCAGCGACGCGTATCTCATCAGCTACGCTAACGTCACCCTGCAGCAGGCAAAGGGCAGGATGGAGGAGGAGGACCCCTGTCTGGTTAAAGAAGCCCCTGTGTGTAGTTGGCATACTGGCCAGCAAATTTCCATTGGCCACATTTATAACAAGAACAATGTTTTGTTTAGTACAACATAATCCTACACGTTCTCTTCACTGTTCCAGATGAAACTCTGACAGTCGGTGCGATTATTGGAGATGTACCTTAATGGATGCCCGCAGTCCATGTTTTGTATTGGTACAATATACAATACTAAGAAGTGATACCAACTGTGAGAATGATCTGAATCCTGCCCAGCGTCATTTAAGAATTTGCATTTGTGTGTGTGTGCACGCACTGTGCTGATCTGCACCGCGTGTTTCTTTTCTCTGACAGGTTATGGTACAGAACAGAGGAAACCAAAGGTCATCTTCATGATGGGTACGTACATGCACACACACACACACAGCTCAGCACTGGTGGAGCCTACTTCATTAGGAAGAGCTGAACACACACACACACACACACACACACACACACACACACACACACACACACACACACACACACACACACACACACACACACACACACACACACACACACACACACACACACACACACACACACGATAATAATGAGCAGCTGCTGGCTGATGTTTCATTCACAGAGCACAGCGCTGTAACAAGAGACAATCAGTTGATCAGCCACTGACATTTTTCAGCTATGTTTAAAAGACTGCAGCTCTGATGAAAAAGGAGTTCAGGAGCGCTGACGGAGGGAAAATGATGATGTCTGTTCTCACTGAGTTCAGACAGAGACAGAGAACAAGTTAAGGAAGTCATTTAAAAAGCATAACTGTTCCCCTGTAGAGTTTCATGGATTATTTCAACACCGCTAAACAGTTAAAAAAAACAAACAAACAAACAAAAAGATGCAAGTTATTATATGAAGAGAACAGCAGAGGATAAAGACTTCACTCAAAACATCACTTATTAAAACTATCAAAATACGCGTTTAAAACTGTATGTAGTGTTTTATTTGAGTCTAGATGGAGTCTGGCTACTTTTCAATGATAATATTTTATTTTCACAAGCTTGTTACATATGCTGCATTTATCATGTACTACTAATAGGTGCAGCACGGTGGCACAGTGGTTAGCACCGTTGCCTCACAGCAAGAAGGTTCCGGGTTCGGGTTGTGGAGTCTGCATGTTCTCCCCCTGCTTGCGTGGGTTCTCTCCGGGTACTCCGGCTTCCTCCCACAGTCCAAAGACATGCAGCTTAGGTTGACTGGTGTCTTTAAATTGCCCATGTGTGGTTGTTCGTCTATGTGTTAGCCCTGCGATGGATTGGCGACCTGTCCAGGGTGTACCCTGCCTTCGCCCGATTGCTGGCCGGGATTGGCTCCGGCCCCCCCCCCCGTGACCCCGTTCAGGGACTAAGCGGTAGAAAATGAATGAATGAATACTAATAGGTGTATTACACTCCTCTATACATTTATCCTCCACAGCTACATACATGAGAGGGTCAGAATATTAGGAACACCTCTGAATATAATGTAGCCCAGTACAACACCACCTTTGACCATGACCTCAATAATAAACATACAATTGAATCTATACCTTTACGGCAATTATGGAAGTGTTGCACTGAATTGCATACAAGTGTACCTAATAAAGTGGCCAAAGGGTGTATTAACAGATTTTTCATACAAATGCACTCATCCACATACACATACTCAGAAGAACATTAAAGATCTAAGCTGTAAATATCATCTACAGTACAGGTCATTATTACTTGCAACCCATCAAAAAGAAAAATCTGCATTTAAGCATTGATAAAGTCGAGATGATAGTCAAAATATTGCAGAAAAAGACCCCAAGTGTCGTCCCATCTATGCTGCCATTTTAAAAGTCAGTGAAATGCAGCTTCTCTATATGGAAAGTGAAACAAGCTCATGCACCCAGCTTCTAAAACACAATGGGGTTTATGTACATGTCAGGGTGGGGTTGGACAACAGCCGAGTCCCCGACAGGAGGAAGAGTCATGTGCTGCGATAGACGCCAGAAAGAAAACTGAAGACTTTTTGACCGAAATGTGCAAATTGCTGCAACAGTGTGCCCTTATGTGATTTACACTCATCACATACCATAGACACAGATGGCAAGATTTAAGTAACCTGGCTTTGGGGTAATGGAAAAGGTCGGTCACTTTAAACTGAATCACAGTAACTTGTATCTGCTGTTTATTAAGCAGCTAGGACTACAGAGGACTGCACTTTGTCACATAACATGTCTTGATAGCGTTCACAGATAGAATCCTTAAAAATTAGCAACTCCAAAAAAACTGTTTCTTGCATGTGGACTCAAAACGAGGCGGTTTTCTCTCACAAAATGTTGGAGATAACACAAAAGGTGAGATTGAGCTAGACTGTATTTTAAACAGTTTACCAAAACAGGCAAAATTGTTATCTAAATAAAAGTCTTTTACAGAACCTCTTGCTCCAACATAAAAATGTTCATGTCCTCTTGCCGACCCCAGTCTCCTGTCACTCTGCTTCAAGGGAGACCCAGGTTATCTGTCAGACGCTCGCCTCTTACTGTATGTGGTGATGACGGGCTCAGAGTCACTTAATACTCGTCTACCTGCCTTCTGAGATACTGATGAGAGAGAGCATCAGGAGGGCTTCAAGTCCAAAAAAAGGAAACTGTGGCATTTTATATACAAGTTTCTAAGAAAGTTGTGGTGATGATGTCAGGGCACAAACCTTAGACTGGATACATTTATCAATTCCAGTTCCAAACAAATATGCTCATACCGAAAATCTAGAAGAATAGTCCCTACATTAAAGGTGTCGTCGCCTCCTGGAAGCTGAATCAAAACTATAAAACAACTCTTTTGAAGCATTTCAGTAGACTTCGCCAGTGCCAGTCATCTAATACTTACACAACACGTAGAGGTGGAATTTAACCAGTAACTTAATGTTTGGTTTGTTTTTTTTATTTCAATCACTTTGGCATTAGTTTCAGAACCTTGATGACATTTTTCAAAACTCTAGCCACAAACCACAGTGGTCACACAGGCTGTCCAATGTTCAAAACATCACATTTCACATTCAAACACTGCACTCACAGAATCATGGAGACATTTCTTTAGATCACCCACACACAAGATGGCAGTAGTTTCACAGTTTAGTTGTAAATACACCCATTAGATATTGTAGTAGAGAATATGTGATACTCGTTTCATGGTAGTGCTGCACGTAATGTCACGGTAGAGAGACTATCACAGACATCGCTGGAATGAAATGAACAATAAATCAAATGCAATGTGTTAATTGCATTTTGAAATGGTAATACTTTTATGGTGTGTTATTCTGAACTGGTGATTTCAGTTCAATGAACAAATGATCTTTGGTTTATATGTATTGTCTCCAAGCAACTGGAAAAAGTGTTAAGAGTTTTGAAAAAAATGAAGGAAACTAGTGCCAAAGCAATTGTTAAAAAAAAGAAACAGTAAATGATCTAAATTATTATTCTTTTTGCTTTATTTAAAAGCTGTGAGAGAAGAGTCTTAGGTGGTCTCATTTATTGCAGGTTTGCTCAGGCAGGTTATTAAAAACATGGAAAGGTGGAAAAGTTGAAGCCATGTTCAGAGCAAGGTGTTAATAATGTGAGGTTTCACAGGTGTTGGTGCGTCGTGTTTCTCTTTCCTCATGTTCTCACTTCCATTTTCCTTCTCTGTGGCTAAAACTACTATCATTACCCTTGGAACTTGACTTTGAATAGTGAAAAGCCACTGCTGCTGGTGTGAAAGGTAATGTCGGTTGTTTCGAACTGATGCAATAGCAGTTTTGTACTTTGGTGGCCTTGGGTGGAAAACAATGTTCTAGAGTCAGACATTGCCAGTGACAAACAAAAACACCTCGGAGTTTAAGCCCATGTCAAAGTTTTCAATGATTTTTTTTTTTACCCCCACTAAGACATAGAGGATTTAGCAGCACACAGAGTATTCACTGATTAATCAGTCACTAAGAAGAATATTAGTTTTACAAGTAAGATTACATCTGTAGATTCCAGCACTCTAGTGTTCAGATTTGCAAGTTTTATTTCATATTAATACAACTGAATTTCTGGTATTTTAAACTGTAGCTCAGACAAAATAAGTGATTGGAAGATGACACTAACTCCATGAGCTTGTTAAGACCTTTGTTAAATATGGCATTTCTGACTGGAGGTCTTAAACATGCATTTGGTGACTACACACTGTGCACAACAGTAATACAGACCACTATAAAACGTGTGTGCGCTTATTCTGAACAATGCTTTTCTAACAACCTCTAACCTCATTTTTTAGCTTTATGTCTTAAGATGATAGTTCACCGCTGTGACGTAGATAAGTCAAAAAAAACAAGGCCATGGGCCATTTAAATAAGGATTAATGATGAAAGAAAAAGAACAGTAGTCACTAAAAAGTGAGTTTTAAGATCCACTATCGATACCTGTTATCCTGTTAAGGGTTGCAGGACGCTGGAGCCAATCCCAAGTTTTATAAAGTTTGGTCTTTTTATGTATATAAAGAAAGAAACATGGCAGAACCAATATATTCCTACCTTCACTAAAGAAAAAGTGCAATCCCATTTATTTTGTACTTTATTTATGCTTGTAGCTAGTTCTTCGTTGTCTTACTCCGATATGTTTCATTATGTTTTTATCTAAAATTTTAACTTGTAAAGGAACAAAACAAAATAAGAGTAAACATGTAGTAGAATAAATACAGATGCACTTCCTCCTCTCTCAAGACCAGGTAACATTTCTCAGTTTCAGATGGTTTCAGCGAGAGGTTGAAGTTTGCCCCAACTGACCAGCAGAGCCACTAACAAGCTCCTTGGGGCTTCTGCTTCAACCCCAGCGGGTCATTATTCGACTTCCTGCCAGAGGTGTCGAGCAGCACAGGAATACTTGAAGCGAGGAGGAGACCATATGGAGCATTTTGAGGCTGGTGTAATAAATTGAGAGAATTTTTTTGTATGACCAGTAAATGAATTCATCACCTCCTCTGCTTGAATTCTTAGACCTTTTCTGACTTCATGGTTTTACCCGAGCAAACCAAACCCAGCTCATATGTGTCTGTGCTCTCAGTAAACGGCAACGAGCATGTTTGTTTTGAGTGCTGACAGCAACATAGAATATTGATGAATATGAAGCAGCTCCTGAGTTTTATTACCAGGCTCAAGGCTGGTTATGATAGATCATCACCTCCCATTGATGCGTCACACAGCTTCATGGCCATATAATACCTGTGATAAAACACCTGCACACAGTCGAGCTGTTGAATTATTTCCCGACCTCCAGAAATTATTTATAACTGAATTACTAAATGATGGCTGATTGGTAATTTTTTTTTTTTTTTGCCTTGTCTGTATGATTTTATAGGTGAATCCCAATTCTCCTAATTGGATCCACATTTCCCTCACTTGTGTCTTGCCCTTGAATATTAGGGTACATCTCAAGACTCTTATAAGAGGTCATTTCAAGTGTGGGAAACAACGATCGTCATAAGAGACATGAGAGAGACCCTTATTCTCAGCCCAGGTACGATGCAAGGAGAAACTTTGAGGAGAGAGGAACCAAGGAAATGCAATTTAACTGACACGAGACATCATTTCCAACAGTTGTTCATGTGAAGCGTCCAATCACAAACTGATTTCTGACAAAGGGGCAGGTCAACCTGTAACTGACTGCATCGAAGGATGCGCTGGTCATATCTCCTCCAGGCAGCCTCCTCGCACCTCGGAGCAGAAATAAGAGCTTTGGGATGTCCTTCATCACGGTGGACTGCAACGACTTTTGGGTTGAGCGAGGATCAAGGAACAATAAAATAGGGGAATTGGGATTCACCTTATGTTTGGATGTATGATGCCTGTGTGTGTGAAAAACAGTTTGCATTTTGTGCCAGGAAAGTAACAACATCTTTGTTTGAGAAGTGAGGCATGGCTTTAAGGTCAAGTTTGAACTTTTATTTAAACTAAGGTTAGGGTTGGTTATTGTACATTTAAAGACTGCAGCTAACGAGTAGACTACCAAGAGTCCAAGGAGATGTCTTAAAGTTGCTTGTGCTGTCCAAACAACTGTCCAGACCCAAAGGTATTGAGGCGACAGCACTAACAGCTGCACCGTCATGCTGCCCCAACCATAACCACTACTGCCTGTCCCTAACCTAACTTTAAATCAAGGGTCTCCTAAGGGTCAGTGCGAGTGTGTAAACAGGTTTCAGTCCCCGCAGTGTGAGAGACACCAGGTGCACACACACAGCTCACCTTCCCACCTGCTCTATGTTTCCTCTCTTCTGTCCTCCCCCTTTATCTCTAGCCTCTCTCCCACACACTTTTCCCCTCATAAATGCTCACATGTAGCACTGTGTCTCACTCTCTTTCATACACACACACACACACACCATCTACGTGCGCTGTTTCAGTGTGATGTAGACTGACCTCTGATTGTACCTGTGTGTGTGCTCTCTCAGGTGGTGCAGGCTCAGGGAAGGCTTTCCAGTGTGAGCGGATGGAGGAGAGGTTCGGCCTGCATCGTGTCACCCCGTGTGACCTGCTGTGCAATGAGCTGCAGTCCCATGGGAACAGAGGACGCCACCTGCGGGACATCCTGGAGAGAGGAGAGCAGCTGCCTGAGGTCAGTGTGGTACTGGCTCAGCTTGTGTGCTACAACCTGATTTATTGACATGAAGTAAAACCTATTGTTGGTGCTGAACAGTCTAAATGCGCCTTTACAAAAGCTAGCCAAAGACCAGCTAGCGTGCAGAGGGCATCAAGACTAAGCTTCAATTGAGGGAGCTGGATGATATCTTTAAAAAGATGCCAGTGATGCCAGCCCATCATGCCAATGAAAGCTGATCACATGGTGCATTTCTTTGCTCAGGTGGACACAGAAAGAAAAGATTACTTGCTCTGAAAACATCTGGCAAACGTTCAATATTTACACATAAAATCTTATGTGTGTCAGAAAAACATCTTTTGGGCCACAGATATATTTTGTTGCAGTGAAGCAGTTGACAAATTGGCAGCAAGGCTTTTCAGCCGCACTGTTTCCAGCTACAGCTTTTTCCATTTTCTCATATCGCTCTGCAAGTTGAGGGCTATTGCTTGAAAAGACAAACGAGGGATCAAGGTGAACAGACCTACAGCACTGCAGTGTGGAAACCGACTCAAATATTGTGTTTTAATGGTAACTGCACCCGTTTTTCAAAAATGCACTTTTCACAAATTCAGAGGATAGAAAGCAAAAGTGGTTTGTTTGGAGTTGATATGAGAAGAAGCAGTGACTGCGAAATGCCACTATCTCTGAGCAGATAATCAAAGAATAAAGAACAATAAAATGTCACAGAACCACCACCCACACTTTTTGCCTGCGGGGTAATCTCCGGGAAGACAAACATCAAAACATCAGCGCTGAGCGGGAAGCTGTGCCAACAAAATAATCATTTAAAGACAAGATCCTACAAGATTATTATTTTATAAACACCCCAAGATAAAGTGAAAAAAGCAGAAAGTCCTTCCATGCTGAAAGATGAAACCTCTTTTTTTTTTTTCCCCTCAGGCTAAGAAAATACTGATATACCACAGTACAGTATATGAGATGTTTTCCTGCCAAGGACCTAATGAAATACAGAGCTTATACAGTCAAGAGTGCTCAAAGTGGCATTCACAGAGATCACACATCTGTGTGCACTGTTCCAGCTGTCAGAACCTATACTGGAGCTAGATACAGTAATTCACTGCTAGTGTGTAAACCAGATAAATTATCTACAACTCCAAAGGCTCTCAGAGGAAAACACACCATCTGAGAATATGTAAACATGTGTGTGTGTCGGGGCAAAAAGTCGACTTTAGCCAGTAGCCAAATGTGGCCTCGGTCCACCAGACGCTAGGTACAGTAAGGTGATTTTAGAAGGTATGCAGCAAACACATTAAAATTCACAGTGGCTACATACTGTATGTTAACAAGTAATCAACAATACTGCAAACGCTGATGTCACATTAATGAGAAGAGTGCTGGGGGTCAACTGCAGTGCTCAGAAGTGGATTAAGAATTTGTATTGCCCAGCGCTGCAAAATGTACTGTTACAGTATGTACTGTACTGGCAGGAGGGTGACAAGGTTTTTAAATCAACAGCAGTGAATAAGTGAGGTCCACTTGCTGAAGTTTCTGGCCTTAAATTACTGTGGAAAAATAAGTCACATCCACCCTTCCTGAACCACTGTGAGAGAAAACCTTGCTGATGTCAACACACTTGTGCTACAGAGACAAACAAATCATTCTTGAGCCGGAAAAGGAAATGACACAACAGAATTTGTGATATATTACTTAAGACTACTCACCTCTGCTGTGAAAATATGAAAACTGTCACAGATCTGTCAGTTGTACAGCTCCTTCGTCTGCAGCACAGGTAAATAAAAGTCACAGATGACTTATTGCTACTGCAAGGTCACTTCAGCTGTGGTTGTTACTCATGTACTGAGCTGATATCTGAACAGGCAAATAGCTAAACCTGCTCCTTTTCACCACCAGCTTCTATCAATTAAACTTCAAGAAAGCTTTTGACACAGTGTCAGCTGAGTCTATAAAAATATTTTTTCAAACATGGTGAGTGTAGACACAATACAACTAAACAGTGATGAACAAATATGAAAATACTCATACCTAGTACTGAACCATTATGTGTTGCTCTGATCTGACTTAAAGTGCAGATTATTTTTTCCATCACATTCACACATACAGCAACAAGAGACAAAGTACAGAGACAAAAGTCGCTTGCTTGTACAATGAGACAGGCCAACGCTGACCGACAGGAGCACAGATGGCTCTTGTGTTCACAACATTTTTGGCATATTTGACTGAACCATATTCATTAAATATCACAGTGACAACAGCTAATGTTGGCATATTGTCTTTTACGGTCTGCCTTGGGAAGTGGCTACTCTATCAGGGCTACCCCAATTAGTTTCTGGTTTTACTACCTGCTTAAAACACTGCCTTGAGTTCTCTATGAAGGACGGACAACACACAGGCTGCTGCCTTCTTTGTGTGACTGGCTTTTTAAACACAAGCACCCAGTATCACACAAACACACACACCACAGAAGCTATTCTGTGTTTACGTTCTCCTAGTCCCTGGCACCTCCAAGTTGTGAATGATGGCAGGCTGTGATGTGTCGGGTACCGACGTCCAAGAATGTATTTGTAATCTGACATAGTGACCATCATATCAGACAAAAACGTGTAGTCTGAACCAGGCATAGCTCCCTGTCTCACGCAGCAGGGTGTACTGAGTGACAGCACTCAGTTTCCAGTGACAGTGAATAGGCAGCGGTCGCTGTCCCACACAGAGTGTGTGTTCAAAATGCTCAGCCATGCAGATGCACAGTTTCACCACAAGGGGGCTCACATATAGTAAACAGCCTTTCCAGCACTTCCACGAATCTTTTTTTAAAAATTCCTGGATCTGGATGGTGATATGGATCAGCACTAAAATCTAATCGGTTGTTCCGAGGGCCATACCCTACCTCTTAAAAAAATGTCATCAAAATCCATTCATTACTTTTTGGGTTATGATGCTAACAAACAAATGCCAGCAAAAACATTATCCCTGCCTTTGGTGGAGGTAACAACAAACACTATGAGAGACATTCAGGTTTTCCATTATTTCAGGATAAAGAAGCGATGCACTGAACTGATTTACAAGACATAAAAGAGACACCCACACAAATATTTATTTTAACTTTGTCATCTCAGTGGAAAATCCCAGTGGCTGCAGGCAAGGCTCGGCTGCCTAAGTTTCTTACAGAGCATTAAAGTCATTTCCCATGTGTTCATTAACATAGCCACCACCAAACACTTATTTTTATGTTTTTATGTGAGTTGGTTGGTGAGAGGGAGAGAAAAGCAGGGTGAATAATCCCACCCTGGGATCACACATTACAGAAGCTACTGTAACACAAAACCACACCCACATCAGAGTTTTATCTCAAAGTGACAAGTCATATGTGGCTCATCAGTGTTAAGACTGTAAAAACTGACAAGGTGAGGGTTTGATTTATAATGTTACTGAACTGTTGCCTGGCAACACTAAAAGTGTGATTTAATATTCTCCATGATCTGAAATCCCTCTGCAGACTGTCAGCCTCCATGTGTGTTGTATGTCTACACATATAAAAAGACTTTTTTTTACATTTAGCGGGGGGTTCACATGTGCGACCATTGTCCAACCATGCAGAGATGGAATTACACATCCCAGAGGGAGAAACTCTCTTGCAGCTGTACATCATGAGCTGAAGCCAAAGAGCAAAAATCCCCAATATTTAATGTGTTAAAATAGCAGTGGAGTGTCTTTTCCTGTGGGTGTGGGAGCAGCACATAATTTGATGCATCTTTGGCAGATCAAACCTGGCTCAGCTCCAGGTCTCAGTCTAGGTTAAGAGAATATCTGGCAGGGTCATGTCATGACTCCAGTCACTGCAGAGCCTAAAACATAAACTACAGGTACTATTCTTTCCTTCTTCCTTCCTGCCAGTTCTTCTCTCAGATGTTGAGATAACTATACCGGCAAATGACTGTCATTTATCTTTTGCACAGTGCTAATCATATTGATCAGGAGCTTATTGAGTGGAGTATCGAGCATCTGACCTTTGATGATATTACACCTACTGACCTCTGAGGAGATGAAATCAGTATACCAAACTATAGAAATCAGTTACATAAACCTACAGAAGTGATACGTTGAATTATATCTCCAACGTTTTTCTGAATATAAAGTTTGTGGAGAAAATATGCACAAGTAATAAAAGCCACAAGTTTCTAATAAAGTCCTGGGCCTGTAACCTGCAGGCCCATTCAGTAATCCATCCATGGCCACACCACAGTTCACTCCATAATGTTCACAAAAATCAGCAGCAGCCAAGCAACCAAAAGAACAGTAACTTTAACAACCACAACAGTAAAGTTAGCCTAATTAGCAAACAGCAGACAACCATGAGCACACTGTGGAGAGCAATGACACACAAACATCGAGTGAAGAGAGAAAAGATACAACAGACACTTACCAGAAGTTTTGAGGTGAAGCAACCAGTCTAGCATTTTGGAGAACAGCCTTGGGAAGTGTTGCCAGGCTAACGTGACTTCCAGTTTGAAGTGGTTGAAGCTAATATAACAAACAACAAATCAGTCTCCAGTGACAAGTACAGCAACAAGAAGCACAGCAGTTTTCTCCTCAGAGTCTTCCTGAACTGACCTGATAAGACTCCTGGCAGCGTAGCTTGATATCAGCTAATACTCTTAGCAAACTAGTTAGCAGACTAGTTTGCAGACTAGCAGCAGGGCGGCAAGCACTGATGAACCAGTGCAACATCACAGCTTTAAATAGGCTGGTTCATTGCAGAGGGTGCGTTTGATTTGTATTCTAAAGAGCATATAATGTCACGAGTGTCATAGCATGTCATCTGTTTTAACTCACTTAACAAGTTATTTTGGCTTTTGTACTTGTTTTTGATGTAATACAGTTTTATTTACTTACAACATATAAGCACAACCAAAAATTCAACCTATATTTTGACATAAAGCACGGTCTTTAATGGATAGTTTAAAATTGAGAAATCACTTGTAAGGCTTGTATTTCATTTGATACTGACACAGTGGCTGAGCAACTTTCTGCTGATTGACACAGTGAACCTGCAGATTATGAATGTTTTCAATGTATTTATGTATACACAAAAATACATCTATATCCCTGCTTTGTTGGGTACAAATGATAATTAATGCCTGTGCTGTATGTGTGTTTTTGACCTCCAGGACACACTGCTGGAACTTCTGTGTGATGCGGTGGCGTCACTGGCACGGCAGGGCAAAGGTCTCGTGATCAGTGGCTTCCCCAGAGACCTAAGACAGGCGCAGATGTACGAGGAAAAGGTCAGAGCACTGGACCGGCAGGCCAGACAGCAGACGTGTGGTCAGGAACATGAATAAAAGAAGAACAAGCCATCCACCAGTAGACACAAATTTTACTCACAAAACTTAAATGAGTGCAAAGTGAAGAAAGAAAGAAAGCAGAGGCAACACTAAGCTTGTTAAGCTGTTTGACATGAAGCAATGACATGAGCATGAAAAATGACAGTCAACTATGACTCATAGTGTTAACGCAATTTAAAAAAAATAAATAATAATAATTTTAGAAAATGGGGATGCATGACAACCAGGAATGACATGTTTAGAATGACAAAGACAAAGTAAAAAGGAAGCTGCAGCCTGAGGATCAGTGGTTTAACTGGAGAGATGAGTGACTTTCCTTTTCCTGTGCTGTGTGCATCAGCTGGGTGAACCCAGCGCGGTTCTTGTGCTGAACTGCTTGGCCGACACCATGTCCAGTCGTCTGCAGTGCCATGGCAGATCCAGCTCCAGTACAGACAGATTCAGTCCCACGCACAGTAGGGCTGAGAGCATCTGCAACGACGACCAGGCAGTGGTAGCTCACTATGAACACAAGAGGCTTCTGCACATGGTAAGCTTGTGTTGTTGTTGCTGTTTTTGATAAAGGAGAGCAGCTAGAGGCAGCTAACTCAGCCAGGGTTACAGGTTCAACTCCCTGTATATATATAAAACATACATTTAAAACAATAAACAGCTATACAGTCATCTCTACACCGGGTACTGTACTATCTTAGAATCATTTTGGAGCTGTCCCAAGATGTCATTTTGATAGAAACTTACATAGAAACCTTGCTGTTGTTTCCACTGTAACCTCAGTAGATAATCACATAATTTCTGGCTGGGGGTGACTGTCCCTTTAGCAGGTATTGAGGTCATCAGTCTGATGTGAGCTTGCAGCAGACTGCTGTCCTCGACTGCATGTGAAGGCACTGACGGCTTCTGAAAAGCCTCATCTCAGCCACTTTGTCTCCATCTGCAGATCGATGCCGAGAAGTCACCAGATGAAGTGTTCGCCCAGGTCTGCCAGGCGATGGAGTCCTGCTCCACCTACTGATTTGTACAGTTTCCTCAGGGCCGCTCCCACCCTACATCCTGCGATCCAGGAGGTCCGCTCTCTCTGCCGTATCACTCCAGGAAGACGCACCCACGTAACCTCACACCTGCACCAGACACATGCTCATTGAACTCCAGTGGTATGCATGTCCCGACTGATGTTTCGAAACACTCCCAGCAATTTGTGAAACCTCTCTCTCGACTCTGACAAGGCATCTAGCTGTCACACTCTGCTTTACCTACTTGCGTTGTCTCTTTCTCTCATACTTTGACCTCAATATATGCCAAACGAGGCAGGTATCTGTACTGAGAAAACAGCATCCCCTGCTGTGACTGAGAGCATGTTTCTAAAGCTCTGCCACCCCCTGAGCTGAGCGGAGCTGAGAGAGGGGTCCCGCATGTTAGTAAGTGGAAAATGTCAGTGTGTTCATGCTTTCATGCACAGCACCGTGCTTTATATTGTAACAAGCATGCAAGAAATACAATCAAGCTTAACTGCCTTTTGTGCATTAAATAAAAAGCTGAAAATAATTACAATTATTAAAAAATACTGCATTTGTATGTTTTCGAGCTCATCGTACAAGTGCTTGTTTGAGTCTGGTATTTAACATTCAATAAAGCCAGTGCATTTTGGAGGATTTCTAGGTGTGTGCACTTCTGTGTTTTGTGTGTGTGGGGACAGGAGATGACAGCTGGTCTGGGAGCCCCACCTGCTGGTGAGAAGCTCACAACAGCTGTGCTAAAACTATATGAATGATGACCAAGGGAGAAGAGTTTAGAATCTTATTTAAAACACAATAAAATAAACAATACGTGTCCAACTTTATGCTAATGCTGTACATGAATCCAACGTCAGTAAATGACGTAACTACAACACTCAGTGTGGTGCCTATGACAAAGAACAGGTTGGGAGAACATAGAGAAAGGGGGAAAAGGAACTCAGGAATTTGAAAATTACCTGGAAGATTCAAAATTACTTTCATTCAATAAAGAAGCACAGAAAACAGAATTTAATTTCTTTTAGCAACTGATATAACACCAGAAAGTCTTAGTAACCGGTGCATGAGATTAAACCTGATATCAGGTTGTGCTTACTAATAAAATACATATCAATCTTAATCACTGTACATTTTGATACCATTTTTACATCTTGTATAATTCAACTGACAAAACAGTTGACAGATTTTAAACAGTCGTTACTTGCAGGCCACACTGAAAACTGTATTTCACAATGAGATATCTACAACGCTAAAAAAAAAATACTAGTTACAGCTGCTTTGCGCCTGTAGCCATTTCTTCTTCTCTTCCTTAAAAGCCAAGCTGTATGTATCTGCAGCTCTGAACTGCTCGACCATTTCAAACTCAGAGTGACATACAATAATGATAATGCAGGAACCACATGTGTAGAAACACTGTTTTCACATACTTTTATTTCCACTGTTCTCCTCTAGCAATTTTTTTTTTTACATTATTATTATTTTTGTTTTTTTACATAAGAACAGACTGTTATACACATACTGAAGCAGGGCAAAGGGGGTGAGGGGGGTGAGGGAAACATACAAAATGGTGTCTACTCAAGCACAACAAAATCTATGAGTATAAAATTGTGTGGGTTGTTCCATGGGGGAGGCACCAACCACTACCTCGATTTTTTTCTTTAAATAGTTAATAAAAATACAATCTTTTAAATTGACTTTTTAAAGTGGACTGCAAAATTAAAAGATCTATAGGCAGGATGACTGGATGAGTAATGGAGGACAATGTGGGTCAATGGCGCCACGCAGGATAAGTGGGAAATTGTGGCCAAATTCAAAGGTGGAATTCCCCACAACACCTTTTTGTTAATGGCACACAGCAACTAGCGCTGGCTACGTTTCACCATATACTTGTACACTCAACATGATCAATAACAGCACACATTGAGGGAAGGAGAAAACAAAAACACAGTCTTGTGTATATTTCCATACGCTCCCTTTCCCCTGCCTTCAAAAACATCTGCTCTCTATTCTGTAGTGCTTCCTTGTTTTAGTTGAGAGAGCAAAGGGAAAGGATACAGAGATGAAAGTATCTGTGTGTGAGTGGGTAGAGAGCAGCGTTGTGTGACAGTGGTAGTGACTGCTCCATGTTGAAGCATGGTGTACAATCCGTTTAACACATACAGGTGTGTCTGCAGACAAAACCGCACCGGCCTCGACTCAGTGTCTAGCAGTAGTCCCAACTCCCGCTGAGGACACTGCAACTCATAAATACTCAATCTACAGATACCTAGCTAAAACATTTTTCAATCTTGCATAACACGGAGATCACATACACACATAAACCACCGAGTGTATTTCAGTCGATGGCTTCACAGTCCATTATGACAGACTGGTTGACCACACATTTCCATTAAGTGGCGCCTTACAAAAATGACCGTCAATTCTCCAGTTTTGAAGCAGCACAGGGAGGTAACTGGAGGGCAATGAGGGGTACAAGGGAAACGGGAACAGCCCTCCTGGTGACACAGAGTTTGGGAATGTCGTGTGCCTTCTGTTTTTTTGTTTGTTTGCTTTTAAAAATAGTGTATTGTTTCAAATCACAGATCCATTGATTAACCTGGCTGAGGTGGAGCGGGGCCCCCATGTTCTGAGGAACCAACATGGCTGCCCTTTGCTCGAGTCAGGGAGACCAGTTTACCAACAACCCCCCCACCAGCAGCACTGTGGTCTGCTCTGGGGCCCCTGCCTGCCTGCCTGCCTGCCTGCCTGCCTTCCTGCCTGGCGGCGGGTTAAGCGGTTATCTTGGACTTGGAGGATGGAGCCATGCACCGAGTGGCCTGTGGGATATGTGGAGAGAGCCTGGAGCTAGGGGTGCCTGGGACCCTGTCATCTGTTGGCTGGGAAGTAGTTAGGGTCCAGGTAGTTGTAGCCTGTGTTCTGTGGCAGGCAGTAGTCTCTGTCCAGAAAGGTTTCTGGCTGGTACACTGGTTCCAGGTGGTGGTTAGGCTTGTGAGTCTCTGTCTTGAACAAGCTGAAGATCAGAGAGGAGAAAAGAGAAATATTAGAACTTTGAATGCTGCATTACGATTTTAGGTAGTTTTGTTCTTGTCCATAATGGTCTAACATGCACACAATTTTGAAGGGGTTGCCATCACAGTATAACACTAAGGAAAACTCTCCGATAGTTGGCGAAAATGAATTTTGTCTCATGTATCACTGTTTTGCTGCATCCTAACCACCAGGTCTGTGTGTGGAAGAGCTCACCAGTCAGAGCAGTTGGAGCAGAAGTCCACTGAGTCTCCAGGTGGACAGTCCTGACAATGCCACCGCACTCCCTGGATGGGCTCCATGCCACAGACGTCACACTGCACAAAACAAAGACATACAACATCTTCAGAACATAATGTTGGATCAGTTGCGTAATGACATGCAATAGCATAGTCCTCCTTCCTTATGGTCTGCCATGCGTAACTTAAAGCTCTTTTTGCTTGGTCTTGATGAGCAAAGCCACATGGGCGCCTGAGCACGTCAGTTACTTTAGTGGTACTGCAAGTTACAAAGATTTGAAATTTTTTTTTTTTTTTACCAGTTCTAGAGTGAAACAAGGCTTTACTATTGCTCACTAAGTTAACACTTATGTAAGTGCCCAGAGGTGGACCAGGCATCTGAGGTCCAAGAGGTACTGTAACACACAGCTGGCGGTGATGCCTCCTTTGTTGTCTTTCAATTTAGAGTCGCTTGACAGTGAATGTTTTAAGACGATGAGTTTTGTTGATCATCTTTACTGAACAAACCCAGTGAACATCTAAACACATACCTTCTTTTTGTAAGGTAATCAATTCCATTCAAATCGAGGAAAATACACATTTGTAATTACACAAGAGAGTGTACTAACATCACATGCAATTCCCAGGATGCATACTGCCCTTTTTTTAAATACACTTTATACAGTGTGAACATGCACACTCAGAGTACTGTTACAGTTGCCATCTAGTGTGTAATTAGGACACAAATGTTGTCCCTGCTGACTAACATGTAGGCCCCTGTGACTCAGGGTGTCACTTCATCACACCTCATACATTAAGGGGATGTGTTTATGTAGAATCCTGGCTTTAAAGTTGTCATTAAATGCAATGTAGTCACCTTATAGCCAATGTGCCGCACCCTGGCGTTATCCTCCTGGATCTCCTGGAGCTTCTGTTTTTTAAGTCGCTTCAGCTCGAGAAGCTCTTTGTATTCTGGCAAATTTCTTAGCTCCATAGGTACGCTCTCGTCATCCTGGCAGTATGGGAAGACACACAAACATCTCCATATGAATACACTGATGCTATTCCATAATGATATTCTCTAGATCTTTTTATACCCCCAACAAATATTTGCTGCCAAGATTGATCAGTCTAATTTTAGCTGAACAAGAGCACCATATCCTTAACAACCAATCTAGGGTCTCTTCTGTTTATGCAGCAATGTTGTGGTAAGCAGAGCTCGCCTGAGCACTGAGTGAAAATCCTGGTGTCCTTGACAAAGACACTGAGTGTCTGCTACACGTAGCCGGTACAAACTTTCACCTTCTGAAGAAGAAGGGAAAAAGGTGGTGACGGGCAACATCTTATTTTCAACAAAACTGTGAGCTGCACTTCCAGGTCTTGACAGATGGTTTAGTGCGAGTTCTGATGCACTTTTCTTCTGCAGACTTTCATTCTTTCCCACAAACAGGGCCAAAGTAAAGGACAACCTGGTGAAGTGAAAAATTACTGTGGCCCATGCTGGCAACACCTTTGTGACCTGACTTCATAACAGTGGTGTCAGAGGTTTTGTTAATATGCTGGTGGAACCGGCAGCCTGTCTTCTCAGTAGGGCCACCGGTTTTACTTAAAGGTTACTGCCATCAAAGAGGGAAAAAGAAAATGTCAGTGCTTGGATAACGGCTAGCGTCGCTAGTCGTGCATTTCAAATGAAAAAAGAGGCCGGGCTGCCTGGGCCCCCCTGCTCTGATTTAGCAGTTTTCAATGGCACAGACTGCCCTGATAGGGGTGAACAAAAAAGCACAGACGTGTGCGGTTGTGAGCCTAATGCTTCACTTCATCAAAAAAAAAAAAGAAAAGAATTTAAAGTAGAGTTAAGAGGGTGAGGGACAGTCTGTCTTATGAAAGCAGGTACAAGTGACAAGGCAGGGAGCATTTTGCCTCGTCTGAAACAGAAATGAACCTGTCAGGTATAAAACAAGCTCCCAAAAGCACAAAACAGTCTTTATCTTACAGGTCACTCCTTAGAAGAAAAGAACAGTGTAAGACTGTGAACTCAGAGACAAGGAGATGTGTGCCTGTGACCGATTTGATTCAGCAGCATTCTACCACAGTCAGTTTTTTTTTTTTTTTAAATATACAATAATCTCCAAGGATCAATAAAACGGGGGCTGGATGTGTGCAAAAAGAAGTATATTTCAAAATAAAAACAAATGCTTTGTGACCTCCAGTAGGTGTTCAGTGATGCGAAAGGACTGACCGAGTCATCAGCAGAGGGTTCCTGCACGCTGCCGTAATACGTCGAGCGCTCGTCATCTTCTTCCATGTAGACTGGAGGCTCATAGGAGGTCAGGAAGGTGGATGGTCGGTAGAGGTGCTTGTTAAGGTGGTGCTGCCTCTTATTGGATGACTGGAGAGCAAACAGGTACGATTAAAAAAAAGTGGGAAATCATTTTTAACACGTTTTCTTAAACCCGCAATGCAACAGGGCTAGGCAATAAGCTGAAACCAATATCATGGTTATTAAAAAATACACTTTCTAACACTGATATAATCAGGATGTTGCAAAATAATAACAATATGAAACTATTATAATGTGATAGCTTGGAAATATTATCAGCTGTATTCCACCACGGCTATAGCATCATCGGCATATGTTGGCCGACAAGTACCTAGAGACTGCAATAAACACACTCAGATGTTTGAGATAGTTTAGACACTGTGCTGTCATTACATAGTTTGTCCACTAGAGAGCATGGTTAAGCTTGTTTTTCAACATTACTGAGTCATAATTCCTTAACCACCACATTTAAAAGGTCTGTTTCTTTGTATTTTTAATAAAGTTTCCTCAAATATCCAGTATAAGTTATTCTCTACACAAAATCATCCTCATATCATCAGAATACAATTCCACTGAAAGTTGATATTTAATTAGTTGCCCAGGTGATAATTAAAGATGCCTTACATTAATTAGGAAAAGCATTTCTTTTAATGAAATTAGTAACTGGTGTTGTTACAGGGTTTGGCAGAGAGTTAAGAGTTACCTTTTTAGTGTACATGCACAGGTTGGGTGTTCTTCCAGGCACAGGGATACCAGCTTTTGTCAGTTTGATGAAGTACTTTTGAACCCTACTGGCAACCTGGAAAGTTTTAACACAAAAATGGCTACATTAATGGCTATAACTGAAGAACAGCCGCTTGAACTAACTGAAGTCAGGCACATGTAGGGGGTACAGTTATCATAGAGGTCAGTCTTTGCCTTTTAGCAGTGCACAGTGTACACTCCACATTCTCACTGTCACCTGTTTTGCTGTCCGATTGCCCAGCTCATCAGCAATCTTCTGCCATCTTCTGGACTCGACTTCCTCAGGAGGGAATTTGACAAGAAGCTGCTCTAGTTTTTTCTAAAGAATACACAAAATATCAGGTGAAAAAAATCCTTACTGCAAATATAATAATATGCAGCATCTAAGGATTTATTAAAAACCAGATATACAACAGTTTCCAGTCTATAAAACAAGTGGGTAGCACAAATTAATATACATTTGGGTATATTTTGCTGCTCATCAACAAAAACAGGTAAATCACATCCTGGTTTTGCAAAAATATATCTATCAACTTTAAAAGTTTCCACTGAGCTCATTGTCCTTAGATTGTTTGGATGCTTGTTCCAATCCTTGTGAAAATGTGGAGAAGTGTGTTACAGTATGTCAAGGTTGTTTTACAACAATCAAACCAAAGCAATGCCTTTGCTTGATAAATGTTATTCTGATAAAATACAGTGCAGCTCACACACTACCTACCTGTTCCTCCACAGTCCACAGCTGGTTAAATGTGTCAGGCTTGTTGGGGTGACAAATCCTCCCCCTGATCATCTGTCAAAAAAACACACACAAGCAACAGCCCTGTTAAGACTAACACGATACACAAAATGGGCACTACACCATTTCAAGGGATCTATGCATATGAACTGCCTGGAACACTGAAGCTGTCAGTTTGACAGAGAAAGCACGCTGTCAGATGTGATGTCGAGATGTAAGACTGCAACTCCTTGGACAAAAAAAAAAAAAATCCTGTTAGAATTCAGACAGTGTAGTCCAACAGAATGCAAATGTACAATTTAACAGGGAGAGCAACATTAATAGTCACATTGTCTGCTCACTGTTAAATGTTTGGTGGTGTCAAATCCCTTAACCAATCAAAAGTGAAACACACACACACACACACACACACACACACACACACACACACAACAGAGGACAAGATAGGACATAATAATTAGAGGTGTGGGTGAGGCAGTCCCCTCGTGTTTCCATAGATACCATCTTTTGTGCTCACACCTGCTGCTTGCTTAACTTTGCCTGGTAGTAAGAATAAAGGAGATGGAGGTGGCTAGGCAGTGTAAAATGGAAACAACCTAATGAAATGTAGGGCAACCTGCAGGAGATCAGTGCCTCACCAGGTACAATTAGAAACAGCTGTAGCTGCACTAATGATGCGCTTGGAGACAACTGCAGCTGTGATGACAGCAGAATCGTGTTTGTCTTATAAGGGCAGAGCCATACCTGTGTTTGCCTGCCATTCTCAGGGGCATCACTAGTGGGCAGAGAGGAGTACATGGTGGAAGATTCACCCTCTTTCTTGGGCTCTAAAGGACTTTTTGGTCGAACGGGCAAACCTACAGTGAGAAAACGAGCAGAATTCATATTTTTAAAAACTGTGGAATGTCATTAAATGTCTTTCTGGTGTTTATTGTATTGTGCAACCCACAAGATACAAAAAAAATCATCTTCATTAAATTCAATTAACAGTAATTTCTAACTTCATACGTGCCTTTGTCAAAGATCAGCTTTAAATGCCTGGTTTTGCGTTTTTTGTCGCAGTACTCCCTCTCAAAGTCACCAAGGCCTGAGGTGTACTGGTCCCATGCAATGTCAGGGAGCTGGACAACTCTCTGGGGGCACGGCAAATCCAAATTCACCTGAGGATCACAAGAATCGGGGATCAAACTAATGGACCTCTATAAACCTCATGGCAACAAGGCTAGATGTGTGAGTACAAAAAAAAGCACAATTGCTTCACAGTCAAGTGCTGTGAAGAGCTGTCATCTTCACACTGGGCTGGTTTTTAAGCAGGTACTTGCTTTACCTCAGATGTTCTGATTGCTTTAGTGGCCACGCTGACATGACTGTACTGGGTAGTTTACTGATTTGCCCTGATGCCCTTTGGAGCGAGCTATCAATGAGATCCCAAGTGGAAAAGATGGAGAAGGTTCACATTCAACCTCAGTTGTATCATATAGAGGGAAAGAAATAGCCATCTGCAGCCATCAAATCAACTAATGTTTCAAAAAGCCAGGTACTCAGGCAAAAACCGAGAACAAGATTTCACGTGCCATATTTCAGAGAGGGGCTGAATTGACAATATAATAAAACACATTCACAGTGTATTTACACATTTTTATGCAATTCAGGCACATAAGGGGGTTTGTTGTTTAAAAACATTCTACTGTTTTCTCCCGAGATTTATGCATTTTAGCATTTCAAGGACATGCATTTGTTTTATTTTTACCCGTTTCTGCAGCTGCTCCACAAAGCTGATGGGATTGGTGAGTGCCTCTCTCTGGTGACGTGCCAACGTCTCCAGGTCTAGAATGGCCTGTGTGCGCTGGGCCTCGAGAACTCCGATGGTCTGCAGCAGCCTCTGATAACTGACACAGAGGGAAACAAATTTAGATGAGCATGAATGAACCTGACACTTGAAATGTTGCAGTACATCAAACCTTGAGACCACCAACTATGCTTATCTCAATCATGGTCTAAAACGTTGCACAAGACAAGAGAAGTTCTCTTTTCCTATCCACTTATTTTATAAATAATGTGTTTAGAGTATCAGAATTCTTGGCAGGACTGTAAAGATACCAAAAATTCACAGTACAGTATTGCCATGATAAAAAGTCCATCAGCTGAGCATCAGCTATATTTCAAATTCTGACCTGAACACAGTTACGTGAGTGAAATAACCATATGTATTGTCCTGGTAGATACGGTCAGTCCCGTGACAGTAATGAGAAATTTTTTATGGCAATATGGCGAACTACAAACATCGTTACATCCCTACTTGGCAGTGGCTGAAAAGTGTGCATCTTCTTAAACCAGCTGCTTTGGCAAATATCCAGCATCCCAGCATCTTCAGTGTTAGGTAAAATCTGCAGCTAGTAAATAAAAGTGTACTTGGTAAGAAAAAATACACAACCACTACAACACTGCTCTGATTTGTAAGTGTGCACATCACATGACAAGCACTTGTCCTCAGGCTTGAGGAGCTTTCAGCACTGTAGAAGTCTGACCTTTCCGCTCACACCCTGAGGCAACAGCAAACTGAGCATTCAAAGAGCAAGTGCAGCACTGACTCAAAGACCTTAGAGTGTGAGCAGAGCTGGAGGAATCGACAGGATTGTGACAGCATCCTACATGGCTATAAGCTAATGCAGGTGCTCAGTGGAGCAAAGTGGATCAATCTTTCCTAACAGGACATGAATGAAAATCAATGCACAAGACACAATTTATTCAACGGCTGTCGGTGATTTGAAAATCCCACAAGTAAAAATGTTCAGACAAATCAACTGTGTTTAACCTCAGACCCCTTCGGTAGTTACAGGTACCATCCTTTTACACTGCGTGAGGCTCAGCTGACCTTGAACAGCATCAGTTTGTACTGTGCTACAATGCAGCCTGTAAATCTGTCAGGGCAACTGTACAGAGTGACTCTATTTCAAATGTAAGCT